TCTGTTTACTTCCCCTCTTCTAAGGTTTGGCATATGGGTAGCCTGGTAATACCACAGGATGGTCCTGAAAGTTGTTTGGGGCTGTTTGGGCAGAGAATTCTGGAGATGATCTAGAAGAGGACTGAAGACCCTGGATAGGCATGCGCCATGGATTCCTTGCCTGTGGGGAGGGCCAGAGCAGGGTTGAGACTCCTCTACCCCTGGAAGATAGTCTGTAATAGTGATTGAGAGTGCAGAGTCAAACCCATGCAAGTCTGAATTCTGGTTCCATTACTTATTGGGTAAGAGATCTTCAAGAAGTTATTTAACGTCTTTTAAGTTTATTTACCTATGAAATGGGAATAATTAGAGTATATACTTCCGAGGGTGTTGAGTATTACAAGAATTATTTTCATTCCATATGCCCAGGAGGATGTCTGGCATATAAGAAATACTTTACAAATATTAACTGTCATAATTCTTTTAACTCTAAAACCCAGAACAGTGCCTGATACAAAGATGTAGGTGCTTTAAGGAAATCTGAATGAATAATTAAATGGATTAGAATAGTTTCCTTTTTATTACCTTCCTTAGAGTTTGGTTAAAAATAACTACAAATTCCAGTTTTTATAGCCTAAATAGAAGTCAGTTTTAAAATGTATATTTAGGTAAAGAATCAGGATTAATTTTCATACGTAATTATCAATAATAAAAATAATTATCACAGAAATTTTGAAAACAAAAGAAATTTGTAAAAAGTAGATTAAAAATAAGCAAATCTCTATTTTGATTTTTGCTAAAGATTTACCTATAAGGTCAGTGGACTGAGAAGGCAGAAACAAGTGTCTTCTGGTGTTAAACCTTTTATAATGGAACCTGCTTTTAAAGAAATCTATATTTCTTAAAGTTCAAATTCTAGTGAGGATCAGAGAAACAGCGATCAAGGATACTGCCAAAGTGTTACCCTGAGTTACCGGAGACTGACTGACCACGTACTCAGATGAAGAAGCATAAGAAAGAGGCAAGCTTGAGAAAGAAAATCGGAAGTTTGTTTCTAAATTTGTTAGGGTTAATTTTGCCTTTCGACATAGGCAGTTTGCTATACCCTCTAGAGATTGGATAAGAGGTCAGGGCTGGAGTTGTCGGCGTAGAAATGGTACTTAAGACCCAAGAGTGGATCAGTTCACCTGAGGACTTAGTATATATGAAGAAGAGAAAGTCCAAGGACTGAGTCCTGAGCAACTTTCACACTTGGAGGTTAGAACATGAGGAAGAACTGACATCCAAGATGGAGAAAGAGCTTAAACCAAGAAAATGTGGGTCCAGGAGCCAAGGAAAGAAGTGTTTTGAAGTAGGGAGTGGTCAACAGTGTTAACTTGCTGACAGGTAATAGGTAAAGCAGAATGAAGACTATGAATCGGCCATCGGATTTGGCAATAGGGAGGTCACTGCAATTTTAACAGAGTTGTATAATTGCAGAGGTGATAAAGAATGGCCTATAGTGGATTCAAAGAGCAGGTGAGGAGAATTATCGAGACAGTAAGTATGGACAACTCATTCAAGAATTCTGGCTATAAAGGAGAGTGAGAAATAGAAGAAGTATTACAGCATATATGGATATTCATATGCTATAAGTGATCCAGTAGAGAGGAGAAAAACTGATGATTCGAGAGACAAGGGTAACAGTCCTTCCAACAAACTCAAACAAGGTATACCTGGCGTGATTCCACTGGGATAAAGTAAGTAACATTTGTCTGGGGAAGTAGATAGATCCATGTTTTTTTCTTCATTTACATGCACACTAAAATGCCGTTACATATGCATATTTTTAAGAAAAAATATTTTTATTGGAGCCATAATAGAACCAATGAAAAGTAAATGGCTGAAACTATCTCTGCTTCTCTCCCTCACTTCCACATTCTTTCCAACAAAGATAGTGAACATTCTTGTGGCCCTAAATTTTAGCTAAAAAAAAAAAAAAAATTAATGTTATGGGATTAGTGACTGTGTTCTTCTTCCAATAGTATTTTGATTTATTGAAATATTTAGGGTAAAATGATATGAGAGATTTGCTTCAAAATAATCTAGTTGCGGGAAAGAGATGAACTAGGTGGGAAGAG